TCTTGTCTTTTTTTTTTTTTTTTTTGATTCAGAGTACAAAAGTTCAGTACATAGCCCTTACTGAAATGGAAGTCATATGTAGACCAGGTTGGCTTCGAACTTGCAGTGATCCTCTTGTCCTTGTCCCATAAATTCAAGGATTTTAGCCATATACCACCATGCTAAGTTTAACACTATGTTTTTTCTTGGGAAAAAAAAACAAGTATCAAGAAGTATATTTAAGTTGTGTCTGACTTAGTTATAAGATAATGGACTCTTTTTTTTTTTTTTTTTTTTTGGTTTTTTTCGAGACAGGGTTTCTCTGTGTAGCCCAGGCTGTCCTGGAACTCACTCTGTAGACCAGGCTGGCCTCGAACTCAGAAATCCACCTGCCTCTGCCTCCCAAGTGCTGGGATTAAAGGCGTGTGCCACCACCGCCCGGCCAACTTTATTAACTTTTAAAATTGTTGTTTTTATTTAGTGTGTATGAGAGTTTTGTCCACATGTTATGTGTGTGCCATGTGTGCCTGTTGATGAGACCAGGATCTCAGATGTCCCTGAAACTGGATCTATAGAAGGTTATGAACAGCCATGTGGATGCTAGGAACCTGGGTCCTCTGGAAGAGCAGCCAATATTCTTAACCACTGAGCATCTCTGTATACTACCACATGAAAACATGCTAATCTCCAAGGGCATTGCATACATGTAGTACATTGACATACATGCAGACAAAACACCAATACATTAAAATAATAAGTGTGGGGGAATAAAACTTGATTTGATTGAGCTGTGTGTAGGGTGATTAACAATCAGCAGGCAGAGACAGCTGGGTCTCTAAGTTCGTTTAAGGTTAGCCTGGTCTACACATCAAGTTCTGGGATAGCCAGAGCTCCACAGAGAAACTCTTGTCTAGAAACACCAAAACAATAACCAACAGCTTAATTAAATTATAGGAAGAAAACTGATTATTGTAATATGGGAATAATTATTGCTGAGATCCAAACATTGTCTCAGTTAACCTATATGAACCTATATAATATCTATATAAACCTATTTAACATCTAGTTGTACAGAGGTCAAAGGTGAAGTCTGAAGTCAAACACTGTCGCTGTGCTGTGTCTTTTGTTATGCTGTGGCCGCCCTTTTTTAGCCAAATTGTCTAACTTTTGCCCCATATTTTGATCCTCACAGCTAGCTGTGTGCTCCTTGGACCTAGGACCTAACATACTTGCTATGCAAGCTCTCTTACACATCCTTAACCTCTCCACACACACACCACCCCCCTTTTTTGAGACAGGGTCTCTCTGTATAGCCCTGGCTGCCCTAAACTCACAGTGCAGACTAGGCTACCCTCAAACTCACAGAGACCTGCCTGTCTCTACCTCCAGAGTACTGGAATTAAGGACATGTACTGGGGCCTAGCTTTGGTTTTGGTTTCACATGGAGAGTTTTAGATGGAGATTCACTATATAGCTCAGGCTGGCTTAGAACTCAGACATTTCCCCTGCCTCAGCTTCCCAAGATTTTAGCCTCTGAGACTTACTGCCAAATAAACTCATATTTTCTAGTTCCTTCTGAACACCAGCCGGCTGGTTCAACTCAGCTGACTGGCTCAAAACTCCTCCCCAAGCTGACTGATTCAAATTGGCTTATTCCAGCTTCTGACTGAAGTGCCTCATACTACCTTGGGCAATCTGTTCTAATCTTCTGGCTCCTTCTCTTTCTCTAGCTTGTCTTCTGTCTTCACCTATGAACACCTTGTTCCCTCTCTGCAACCTGTCTCTGTACAACTGTCCTGGTAAAACTGCCCTCTCTCCTTTTCTTCTCTCTCTGTGCCAAGTAGCATCTCTCTTTCTCTGTCTTCTTCTCCTGAGAGTTGGGCATATTCTATTCTGTCCAATCTTCCTCTGATTCATCGTTACTTTGTCTGCCCCTCAATTAGACATCACTTTCAAACATGAGTGCTTCCTTCTTTTTTTTTTTTTAAAGATTTATTTGTTTTATTTATATGAGTACATTGTGGATATCTTCAGACACAGCAGAAGAAGGCAACAGATCCCATTACAGATGGTTGTGAGCCACCATGTGGTTGCTGGGAATTGAACTCAGGACCTCTGGAAGAGCAGTCAGTGCTCTTAACCACTGAACCATCTCTCCAGCCCGAGTGCTTCCTTCTACAAACTAACTTTACCTTCATTATTTGGGATTAAGGGTGTGTGGTAAGGGCCTGTCTATAGTCTAGCCAGAGTAGCCATGCTGCTGGATTCAAACTCTCTTCAGTTTGGTTTGGTGTAGGGTTGCAGGAGTAAACCACCATGTGCTTTCTTTTGAGGAAGGTCAGCCCATCCTCCATCTTTTCTGCTCTTTTAAACTTGTTCACCTTTCTTCCACTTTCCCAGTCTCTCACCAGCTGAACAGTACAGATTTTTATCACCTGATTTTTTACTTCCCCTATTCTCCCATTGCTCCTGGGATCAATTCCATAATAGTCACTATGGCCTACAAGGTCCCTCTGCTCCCCCCTCCCCCACTTCCCCCCTTCATTGCCCTACAGCCAGCTGTTTTGTATTCATTGCTATAGATATATGGGCTGGAACAAAGCAAGTAGATAGTCAGAAAATGTTTGGTAAGTGGATTTTTATCTGGTATTTGAATTCAGGAGAACCATTCTTTATGATAAATGTGGTGATTACATAACAGAAGTGGGTCCCAATCCCATTTCTTCCTTGTCATAGTAGATAAGTCATCTGTCGTAAGCCTCAGTTTCCATAGGTGTGAGACAAGAATAATAATATAATAGTCAGGAGTTTTAATGAAATGATGCAATATTAAAGGTCCTAGCACACTGCAAGCATTCAGGTTTTGATACTGTTATGGGTTTATAGTTCTCTTAGTCCTAGCAAGAATAGTTTGTATTTCTATGTTGTTTTGTGTGTGTGTGTTTTTAACTGTTTTACTTTACAGCCCAGAATGGCTTCAGACTTGCAATCATTCTGCCTCAGCCTGCCAAGAGGAGACTGGAGGTGTTAGCCATGTACAGTTCAAACAGGATAGTTCCCATTGCTTGTTTATTTGCAGAATTTGGGATTGAACCCAGGACTTCCTGCGAGCAAGGCTTGTGATTTACCACTGAGTGTTACTTTAGTGTCCTTTTTTTTTTTTTTAAACTTCCGGTAGTCTCCAGTATTCAAGGGTGGAAAGCTCTGAAGAGGGGTAGGAAGTTAGAGTTTGGGGTAGGCCTCTAACTTTGATAGTTATTAAAGCAAGTTGATGAGGTGTTAATGTCCTTACTATACGGCCTTTTGACAGGAGGGAAGATGAAGAGGCGCCCTGAAACAGCCCTTTATTGTAGACGTGGGAGGTCCCTTGGGTTGGTCTGGAAAACAAGGCTTTGTTATTTTAGCTACTAAGACATAAAGGGCGCCTGGCAGTGGTAGGGCACGCCTTTAATCCTAGCACTTGGGAGGCAGAGGCAGGCGGATTTCTGAGTTCAAGGCCAGGCCAGCCGGGTCTACAGAGTGAGTTCCAGGACAGCCAGGACTACACAGAGAAACCCTGTCTTGAAAAGCAAAAAAAAAAAAAAAAAAAAAAAAAAGTGGACATATAGGGCTAGACTCGGGAAGTGACTTAATTGTGTGGTCCCAGTGCTATGGCAGGAGCTGGGTACCTTCTGGTGTCCTTTGCGTCTATGACTTAGCACAAATACAGGGAATCTTTGGCCGCATGCCCTAACACAGCCACCGCACAACGGCACAAGGCAGTAGGCAGTCATCAGAGTGCCTGGAATCCTGCATACCTAGGCATTTTTCTTACACGGAGGGCCACAGGAATACAGGATGGGTGACCTGCTTGCAAAATCCTTTCACTGTAGCTCCTCCCAACGTCAATTTCTTCTTCTGGAAAGGGCCAGGAGTAGCGACTAGGAGTGCAGTCACTCTGGTCTGTTGGCCTGGGCCGGAATCTAGGTGTGAGAACTTGGCCAAGGCCCCTCGCTTCTCTCTTGAGTCTCAAGTTTCCCCATCTGTAGGAAAGAGGTAATAACGGTGTCTGTCTGCCCGGGGTTGTTCTGAGGTGTAAAGAAGATAGCGTGACAGAAGAAGCACCCCAGCAAACTTAGCAAGGCTAGCCAAGGCTCCCTGGCTCCTCGGGGCCTCCTACCGGCCACAGGCCGAGTTCGCCTAGCTTTGGACGAAGGCCCATCACTTCCTGGTTCTGTAGCCCTAGAGACTCCCCACCTTCTACTTGCATGCCCACGGGGCAGACGCCCAGGCTCGCGTGAACGTCCCACGCCTGCAGACGCGGCCGGCCGGGGTGCGGGCTCGGGCGCCGTGCAGTCGCTGCGCGCAGTGGCCGGGGGACGCGCGCGCGAGGGGCTGCGCTG